AAAATGAAGAAGGGTTTAGGCCCGAAACGTCAGCTTTCCTGCTCCTCTGATGCTGCTTGGCCTGCTGTGTTTATCCAGCTCTACAGCTTGTTATCCCCTCGGCATTAGCCTGGGTTTCTGCATCGCTGGTCCATTGATAGATATGGGTGCTGGTTCCCTGCGCCGCGGAAGTGTTGTCAATTGTTCTGTAGGTGATGCAGCAAAGGAGCATGGTCCAGTTTGAAGTTGAAAGCCCCTGGTGCCAATGGTGAACAGGGACTGCTGCAGTCACCCTCACAACTGGCTACAAAATGAGAAAGAAATGGGCTGGCACCAGGAGAAAGGAAAATCTAAAGTCCTCCATATTTTTGTTCACATTTCTTGGTTTTATGGGCAACTTAGCAGATCTTTGGACTGTGGGAGGAAACCCATGGAGACACAAGGAGAATGTGCAAACTCTACACAGACAGTTGCCCAAGGCTGGACTCAAACCTGAGTCCATGGTGCTGAGAGGCAGCAGTGTTAACCCTGAGCCACTACATTGCTCCTGATTTTGGCAGGATCTTGGGGTCTTGGCATCAGTTTAGGAATTTTTCTCCTGTAGGAGAATCTAGATTTAAGGGGGTCAGTTTTTAAAAATATGGGGTGGGCAATTTAAGACAGAGATGCGGAGAAAGTTTATTTTTTTCTCACAAGCAGTGATGAGTCTTAGGAATTTATTTCCTTAAATGGCAATGGAAGCAGAGACGTTGAATATTTTTACGGTAGAGAGAGATTCTTAGTAACCAAGGGTGAAAGGTCATTGAAGTAGATAGGAGTGTGGAGTAAGTTGGATGAGCTACGATGGAACAGGCTTGATGAATGGTGTACTTGTGCTCTTATTAGCTCATCCCCTATGTTATACATGTAAAAAAGTGACTGAGATATATTTTACAAGCTGTACACTGAAACACTGGAGGCATTGCTTTTCTGATTTAGCTTTTATTGTTTTCCCCACAGAGGCCATCAACAGTTTAAATGCTGCTATTGACATATACACAGATATGGTAAGAAGCTTCATTAACATTGCTGTGTGCTCAGAAGTAGATCAGTATGCGGACTCTGCAGAGTAACAGATGATGTTTGCCTAATAAATCCATTTGAAGGCTCAAGAAATGACTGATTGATTGGATTCTTTGATTTTTTTTTCTTTATTTTACAGGGGAGGTTTACAATTGCAGCAAAACACCATATCACCATTGCAGAGATTTATGAATCGGAATTGGTAGATATTGAGAAGGTATTGTGTTAGACTGAATCTTTTTTTTTTAAACACACTCCATGCTCTTCACTATAATAGCAAAAACTCTATGTCGTACTCGTTTTGTATAATCAGGTTACAGTCACTCTGTACTCTGGGAAAAGACTATGGTCTTGTATGATGTCCCCTTTAGACTATTAAGACTAAGATGAACTTGGGAGTATTCTGAAAGAGTGTTTTTTTTTCCTGATTGTGACATCCATAGACCAATAAATGTCGTGTGACCTGAGATTGCCATGGGGATGGGAACAAAAAGCTATGGAGCAAAAGGTTAATGGTATGATGTTGGAAGGAGAAAGGAGTTTCTGGGGATTCTGTGTCCTCAGCACTGATATGACTCAGGCTGGAGTTATAATTGTCGGTGTTAACAGCATCCAGGGATTTTGGATGGAATTCTGATGAAATGTATTAGAAGGCAGAATCAATTTGAGTAGGAAACAGAGTTGGAAAGACTCTTGAGTTTGGATACATTTATGTGGGAATTAATGTGAAGGCTTGTAATTACTTAAGGTATATCTTTGCATTGTCTATTTGAAGTGAAACTTACCTTTTTATTTGAAATAACCTTCACTTGTTAAATACTAATTTAGCTGTGTTGACTTTGGTTGGTTTGTTAAAGTAAAAGTTTTACGAAACAAAATATTTTTCAACAGGTTTATTTCAGTTGGAGTCGTGGGGTTCCTTTGTTTCTGAACTTATTGTCTCTATGTGGATGGTAACACAACTATCCACGTTCTAAAAATGTACGAGTTAGCGACTGATCCTTTATAAATCCATAGTGATTTTCTTTGAAAAATTATGGTGGCTCAGTTGTTAGCACTGCTGCCTCAAAGCTCCAGGGACCCGGGTTCAATCCCAGCCTCGGGCGACTGTGTGGTGTTTGCACATCCTCCCCGTGTCTGCGTGGGTTTCCTCTGGGTGCTCCGGTTTCCTCCCACAGTTCAAAGATGTACAGGTTGGGTGATTGGTCCTGCTAAATTGTCCATAGTTCCAGGGATGTGTAGATTAGGTGGATTAGCCATGGGAAATGTGGGGTTACAGGGATAGGGTAGGGAGGTGAGTCTGGGTGGTTCTTTGGAGAGTTGGTGTGGACCTTTTGGGCCAAATGGACTGTTTCCACACTTGAGGGAGTCTATAAAATTATTTGTCGAAGAACTCTTGCCACTCTCTCCCCGGTAAAAGTTTTCAATATCTCTCTCACGAGTTAGATGACTAAGTTTTTAATATTCCTGGATTATCTCTCTTGAATGATGAAGTGACATTGATAATTTTCTGAAATAGGCTTCAAAATTATCTTTGCTACACATTGCTAATTTTTCCAACAACTAAAACTTTTTGAAAAGGTGAGACAGTTTATCTGTTCATTAGGGCAACTAATTGCATCATTGCGTTTTCTGAAAAGATTGACAATATAAACAAATACCCCTTCCAATACAGTGCAACATTCTACCTATGTACTGGAGGTTGGAGGAAAAACCTATCCATGGGGCAGACGGAATAAAGCATTTTATGAAAATATACAGAGGTTTCCTTGTGCAATGTATAGCACAGAGATTATCAGACCCTGGTAAAGATTGCAATGAGATGGAACTGTGACTCTTAAACATTGTCATGTATTTGTTTCAATTTCTCAGGCTATTGCTCACTATGAACAAGCTGCAGATTACTATAAAGGAGAAGAATCGAACAGGTATTTATCAGCGCTAGTGAACACATATATCATATTTCTGTTAACATTACTGGAAGCACTGCTGATTTGGCCATTCTTGTTTCAGTTCCGCTAACAAGTGTCTGTTGAAAGTAGCTGCCTACGCAGCTCAGCTAGAACAGTATCAGAAGGCGATAGAAATCTATGAGCAGGTCAGTTACAACGAGGGACTTGTTTTATTCTGCATCTGCCACACCTCTTGCTTCACATTTATCTAATCCTAATCAGGACAAGGGTTAACATTGGAGTCAGATATGTGGGGCCACTGTGTTTGGGTTGGGGCTGTAGGTCCCTTGATTTCTGTCCCTGTTCCTAATCCCAGTTCTGTAATGTATCCCTCCACATTGTTTGAAAACTAGAATGGAAAGGGCACTGTAGTCATAAGGCAGACCTGTTACATTTTTGATCTTTTGAACCTTTTCTCCCCTTGGATCATTTCCATTCTCTTAAATCAGATTACTCTTATGGGGGACCCCCACCTCTTTGAACATTTTGAGGGAGTCTCATACTACTCTTGAGGTTTTGTTTTGTTTCGGGCTTCAGAAAAGCACCCAGCAAACTCTGAAAATCACTTTCAGATGCTGGATTATCTCCTGATGATTTTAATTCCAGAGTCAAAATCAGCACACCTAGTCCTCAAGTTTAAAAATATCAAGTGAATCACTTAAACAAGCAAATCTAATGGTGACCTGACATAGTTTTATACAGATAATATCTCTTGTCTAACTGAAGGAGACAGAACAATTAAAAGGAAATTTGTGGGGACACATTTTCTCACCACTTCAAGTGCTTTAATGCTGTATAACCAGTACAGGGCACTTTTATTTACAAGGGAAACCTGATAGTGGCATGGGAAACAATAGATTTCTGGTGCATATCACTGGCACTGCATCTTCAACCAATCAGTATCGACTTGCTGAGCAGTCTTTTCCATGTGGTGTAAATTGTTGTTCCCTTTTGAGATTTGGTATTCTTGCACTAGTCATGATGAGCTCAGGACAAGAACATCAACAGCATATCTCTCTCTCTTTTCTTTTCTCAGCAATAATCTGTTAAATGCTATGACTAGTAAAGTATGCTTTTTATCCCTCAGGTTGGGACCAATACCATGGATAATCCACTGCTGAAATATAGTGCAAAGGAATATTTCTTCAAAGCAGCATTGTGTCATTTTATTGTTGACGAGCTCAATGCTAAGGTGGGTGTAACTTCATTCTTAGTCATTGTTGCTTGGGGACTAGGTGCACAGCGGGATATGGCCTAGAATCAAGTTCTAGCTGGTGTGTTGGAAACTTATTTCTGCTACTTGTAAATGAAAATACTTTGAACAGCATAAAGCCAATTTCTCTAGGGCCCTATAATACAATATACCAGATAGCTTGATGGGAGCAACAAAATGGCTTGCTTAGACTAATGGAGATGTCACGCTAGTGTAGGAAATAGTGTAATTCTGTAATATAAGTAATTTGTACATGCTTTTTATTTTAGCTCCCTGCTTTTCCGTCTGAGTGTCTCTATGAGGTCTCTTCAATCTGATTTGTTGAGGAGCTACCGTGCTTCTTCCCCTTCTCACCAACTCCACAGACACCCTGTAGAGCATGCTCAGTGCGGATGCTGGACATGCGGAAGTCTCCACTGATGGGTCTGCTAAAACTCTGTCAGCAACTGCAAGTGAGGTGAATGGAAAAGTCCATTCCTTCAATGCTCACTGCAAAATTCGAGCCAGTTTGCATTTGTTCCCATGTCTTTGTAAGGGCATGTAATTTATTGAAACGTAATCAGGTTGGAGGTGCTAGATACCTATGATGGAGATGCCAGCACTGTTATGTGCAGGAATATATTATTAAATCATATTCAAAGTGCTCCTTAGAGTGTAAGTATTATTCAAGATACTGTCAATCTTAGTTGGTTGACCCACCTGCCTGGTTTAAATTTAATCTGCTAAAATTGACAATTAACACTTCCTACTGTATTTCCATGCCAACCATACTCCAACCAAACAACACCCTCTTTTTGTGCTGTATAAATTGTTGTTTCTTTTCTAAATCTGATTTCATGCTTCCCCATCCTGATATGTGCAAGATGGAAAGCTTCAACATTGTGCCTCTTTTTAGCAATGCCCTCTTCTACCAAGCAATTGTAAATATTGTCAAGACAAACAAAAGCTGACCTGGTGCAGGAATAGATGAGGTCTTTATCCCTCTATTTTAGCATGTATGTAACAAAATTAAATGTTTGTTTCGTCACAGCTTGCTCTGGAGAAGTATGAAGAAATGTTTCCAGCATTTTCCGATTCACGAGAATGCAAACTTTTAAAGGTGACGCTTGAGAATAATTGCATTGATGGTTTGTCAAAGAAAGAGTTTGCAGTACACCTTCAAGCTTTATACAGAGACTGAAGCATGCATTTTACGATTCCTGCACTTCAATGTCCATGTGTCTCCCATTACCTTTGTGCATAGTCTTTCATAAGCATTGCCTGATCTTTACACAATGCCGCTGATAGTGTGTGAACAACTAGCTTTGGCAGTCTGAATATCTTGTTTGTCTTTAATTTCTGTCTACATCTGTGGTTATGCTGACTATATGCCTAAAGCTTAACTAACAACCTCTTCATAAAAGCCATCCTTCAAGCCCTTCTTTCCCCTCAAATACCAGAATTGCCCTAGATATCCCCCTTAACTCTTTGACATAACTTTTCTCTCCATCTCTGCATTGTCACTTCATTCGTCAGGGCTGGTGTGATAGCAGGTGAATACCAGACAGACTCTGGATATACATTTACAATAATATTGACTGTTCTTTTTCTTTGTGAATAGAAATTGCTCGAAGCTCATGAGGAACAAAACGGCGAAGCTTACACTGAAGCAGTAAGTACTGATAAGTTGTGAAAAGTGCACACATCAATTCACATATTTAAGATTCTCAACAGAAGAATAAAATTAGCTCCGTACATATTGGTATCAATCTATTGTGTTCGGAGTTCAGATTTATTTGTTGTTTGTTTCATTTATTGAAAGAGTTTCGGGAATTGCTGGTCTAATGTAAAATACATAATGGTGCCAATAATTCATTTTCACTGAGATACCATTTGGTTATTGTATTGGTTCAGCTTTTCTATTGAGAAACTTGAATGCTGCAAAGGCACTTTGCAGGACATGGATGGATGTGGTACTGTTACTGGGGTAGTAATCCAGAGGCCTGGACTAATGCTAAACCCACCGTGGCAGCTGGGGGAATTTAAATCCAATTACTTTATTACTGAGGCTAGCATTTCCTATCATAATGGATCTATCAGAATATTGTAAAAACATTTGACTTGTTATGACTTTTAGCTATCCTTGCCTGGTCTGGTCTGCATTTGACTCCAACTGTCCCCTGAAATAGCCCTGCAAACTAATTAGTTGCAATAAGCCACGAAGTATGTTTGTTTGTGCCTCAATGATGCTTTTGCCAAGACACAAGACATGAAGAGCTAGTAGCTTTGCAGTTACCACACTGTAGGCTCTGTATCTGAATGCACTTAGCATTCATAGCAAAGTAAACAAATTCATAGCACACATTGCGGTAAATGATCATGATCTGATAGCTATGTGGCCGCATGATGAAAAGAATTGGGTTTCTGAATCTTGAAGGGTAAATGACATTCAAGAAAAATAGCAAGTTAGGTAAAGGTGGAGAAGTTGCATTGTTAATCAAGGAGCACACTGTTGCAGTAACTATCTCTGAAGGTGGCAGGGCAGGTAGATAAGGTTGGTTGGAAGGCATATGTGATATTTGTCATTATTAGGTCAGGCATAGAATACACGAGCAAGGAGGTTATGCTGTAACTGTACAGAATGCTGGTTAGGCCACATATGGAATATTGCATGCAGTTCTGGTTACCACATTATACCACTAACACACAGTGTGTTAGTGCATATATCTGTGTTCCTGTGTTAGTGCCTGTATGTTTTATATTCATATGTGTGTATTTATGCATCTGTATTTGTCTCTGTGTATATTTGTGTCTGTGTGTATCTGTGTGATTGTACTTTAGAGAGGATGCAGAGGAGATTTAGTAGGATGCTACCTGTGCAGAAAGGTCTGAGCTATTTGAAAAGTTTGGATCGGCTGGGGTTGCTTTACTAGGAGTACAGAAAGTTGAGATAGGAGCTGATGAAGATGTCTAAGACAATGTGGGGCATAGGAAGGCCCATTTTCCCCATTAGTACAGGGAGACAATAACCAGGGGGCATAGATTTGTCAGAGGTAAAAGGCTAAGAGGAGGGCTGACGAAAACTCTCTTCGCCTAGAGTAAGTTGGGAGCCTGGAAGTCACTGTCTGTGGTTGAGTCAGAAACTCTTGTACCATTTGTGCAGTATTTAGATTTTCACTTGCATTGCCATAGCCTCCAAGGCTATGGGCCAGAAGCTGGAAAATGGTCATTACTAGTTGACCAGCATGGACACAATGGATCAAATGGCCTCCTTTTGTACTGTAAACAAAGTCTGAGTCAATGAGTTAGAGATGACCTTGGTTCATGAGATCAGGTGGAGACAAGGAACAGTAGGCGAATGAAGTCACTAGTAGGATGGGGTGGCACAGTGGCTCAGTGGTTAGCACTGCTGCCTCACAGCGCCAGGGACCCGGGTTCAATTCCACTCTCGGGTGACTGTCTGTGTGGAGTTTGCACATTCTCCCCCTGTCTGCGTGGGTTTCCTCTGGGTGCTCCGGTTTTCTCCCACAGTCCAAAGATGTGCAGGTTAGGTGGATTGGCCGTGCTAAATTGCCCATAGTGTTCAGGGATGTGTAGCTTAGGTGGGTTATAAGGGAATGGGCCTGGGTGGGATGCTCCAATGGTCAGTGTGGACTTGTTGGGCCGAGGGGCCTATTTCCGCACTGTAGGGATTCTATTCTATTAGGGGTAGTACGAAGGCTGCCTATCAACAACCACAATGTGGGACAAAGTATAAAGGGGGAGCTATTGGATGTTTGTGATTTAAGGAGATGGCAATAAGCTTGGGTGATTTAAATCTACAAATAAACTGGAAAAATCAGATTGGCAATTGTAGACTGCTTTTGAGAGAGTTTCTCCAACAGCACATTCCAGAGCCAAGCAGAGAGCAAGTTATAAATCAACTTGGTACTGTATAATGTGACAGGATAATTAATGAGAGTAAAGACATCTCTAGGTAGCAGTGACCATAATACAATTAAGTTTTACATCCAGTTTGAAAGGGAAAATATTTTGCCTGAGATTTGGGTGTTCAACCTTAAATAGGAGCAACTGTATGAGCTGGGCTGGCTAAAGTAAACTTGGAACCAGGCTGGGAATGGATCAATGGAGAAGCATTGGCAAATATTTATGGGGTTATTTCAGAGTACTTAGAATACATATTCCCACTATAAAGAAAAGTAGAGAACTACTATCTGTGGTTAACTAAGCAAGTTAAGGAAAGCATCAAACTTGAGGAAAAAGCATATGATTGCACAAAGGAGAGTGGTAGGTCAGAGGGTTGGACAGAATTTGAGGAGCATGGTTGACAGTGACTAGTACTTGAGTATGGAAGGAAGTACTCCTGAAATGTAAAAATGAACAGAAAACGTTTCTACGGGCATTTAAAAAAGAAAGAGGAGGTAAAATGAGTGTTGATCCTCTGAGAGTGAGAATGGGGCATTAATTGTAGATAATGAGGAAATGGCAGATGGAATAAACAAATGTTTTGCTTCTGTCTTCACTAAAGAGATCACAAAAACCATTCCAATATAAGTACTAAGTCATGAAATGGATTGGGAGGAGAGGAACATTGTGATATTACAATCACCTAAGGAAGTGATTCTAAGCAAACTGATGGAACCACAGTCTGATAAGTCCCTGGGTCCTGATCAACTTCATCCTATGTTAAATTGCTAAGGAAGCAATCGATGGGTTGGTATTAATGTTCCAAAATCAGCAAAGGTTTCATCAAATTGTGAAGTAACATGAAGGAAGGGAGATTTAAACAGAACTATAGGGTAGTTAGCTTGATGTCTGTTGTGGGGCAGAATTGATCAGTATGGAGGTACTTAGAAAAAAATCAAATTAATTGGGAAGAGTCAGCATGTTTTCATGAAGGTGCAATCCTGTTTAACCAATTTATTGGAGTTATTTGAAGGAGGAATATACATTGTGAATAAAGGGGAACCTGTAGACTTAGTGTTGGATTTCCAGAAGGCATTTCACAGGGCACGGCAAGAAAGGGTATTGTACAAAGCAGGAACTCATGGTGTTGGGGGAAGGGCAGCAATATATTAGAATGGATAGAAGATTGGCTGGCGGTTAGAAAACAGACAGCGTGCATAAATAAGTGGGACTTTTTCTGATTGTCAGGAGGTGATGATGGAATCTTGTAAGATTTTGTACTGGGTCCTCAGCTTTTTACAAATTATATCAATGACTTAAATGAGGAGGGTGTATTCATGTCTGGGCGTCATTGGAGAGGCAGCATGTAGTGGACATCTATGCTCTTGATGTCTTTAGAGAAAAGTGGACATGACGGGGGGCGGGGTGGTATAGTGCTTTGTTTCCCCTTCCAACTCCATTTTGATTTAGCCCCTAACTGTTCTCCCTACCCCCTCACCTTTTGATGGTTTGCATTGTCCATAATGGACTTTGCGCATAAATTTCTAACTGGCTGCGTAGGTGATTACTGGTTGTAGGAGTGTTTTTCCCAACCCAGGACAAAAACTCAGGATGCAGGCAGGATTCAGGCAAATGGAAGATGTTTATTCAAGCAAAAACTGGTTTATGCAGGGAGAGGGCCAAAGGATCTTTCCCAAATCTGGCTTCAGAAGATAGACCAATGATATGCCCTCTGCTTTTACAAGGAAATACAGCATTTTCATACATTTTGTGGTACAATAATCAAACGCAACGTATTCATTGTCCTTCCCCTTAATCCAAACACCCAAACCCATGGACCACCTAATCAGTGATGCGCACTTCTGTGGACAGCCCCAGGTTCCCATGATCTTATGGTGTTAGCTATATATTGTAATCTCTAGGCCTTGTGATCTTTCTATGCACCCTATTCATTCACGTTCCATTTGTTTAATAGCTATACTCCTTCGGGTCTTTCTCAGGCTTGTTTATCTGTAAGGACAGCTCAAATCCTATTACCCATTGTGTTTTGGTGCTGTCTTTTATCACATTCAGTTACTCATTTTATTTTCCCACTATCCCAATTATATAATGTAAAAATAAAAAGTCAGTTAGTTTTAACTAACTGCTATACGGTTAACTTCTGTTATGAAGTTAATTATCAGTGTAACGTTTAACAGCCATTTCTACTATCAGCATTTTGTAATTTTATGGGTTGTGAGCAATCTATGTTGTTCAGGTCATGAGAGAAGGTGTCTCCTAAGGCTAGTTAACCTTCACATCTAAGGTTAAATTTTTTTTAGGGCTTGTATTATATTCCGTTTATGTATTGAAACCAACTTCTATGATTAAAACATTTTTAGCTAGAAATGAATTAATATTGCCGGTAGCTTCAAAGAGGCCACTATTTACTACAAAATAACTTTAGCTGTCATTCTTGCAGCTGCTTAAGGACTTAATCTAGCACCTGATGTTTCTCAATCATGCTTTCATTAATAACGATAGAATTGGTCATCTATCTGTCCTAAGGCATCCTTTTATCAGAAATGTCTTGTTTAGGAACATACAGCAGTCTTTTACTGAACTTCTAGCAGTTCTGTTCAGAGGTACCATTGTATTTCACTGTGTGAGCAGGCTGCTTAGTTTTGCTTCGCTTCTGTCTGCCACCTTGTAAGCAGGTATGGGCCACTTAGCGTGTTCAGGTACAAGTCACCTTACATGGCCAGGTACAGGTCACCTCTGCACTGGTGATGGTTAATGGTTTAAAAAAAGTCACTGGTGATTTGGTGGGAAAACCATTCAATTGTGTGTGTGATAACGCTTCTAGATGAGGGAAGCGAGGACTATTGTGGAACAGTAGTAGTGTCCCTCTGGGCTAGGAGGCAGGGGTTCAGGTCCCACCTGTTCTAAACATGTATCATAACATATCTGAACAGGTTCATAGATCATAGAATCCCTACAGTGTGGAAACAGGCCCTTTGGCCCAACAAGTCCACGCCAACCCTCAAAGCATCCCACCCAGAACCCATCCCCCTAATCCCTGAATACGATGGGGAATTTAGCATGGCCAATCCACCTAGCCTGCACATCTTTGGACTGTGGGAGGAAACTGGAGCACCAGGAGGAAACCCACACAGACACGGGGAGAATGTGCAAACTCCACACAGACAGTCGCCTGAGGGTGGAATCAAACCCGGGTCCCTGGTGCTGTGAGGCAGCAGTGCTAACCACTGAGCCACCATGCCGCCCAGGTTGATTAGAAAATATCTAGGTGAGGGGAGTGAAAGCATGGTAGCTAAGTTTGGTGATGACACAAAGATAAATACAAAAGTATTTTGTGAAGAGAACATGAGGATGATACCGACAGATCTAGATAGGTAGAGTTTGTGAACAAAAGTCTGACAGATGGAGTGTAATGTATGAAAATTTGTAATTGTTCACTTTGGCAGGAAGAATAAAAAAGCAGAATATCATTTAAAGGGATTATTTTAATGGTTGTAGATTGTAGAGTACTGAGGTGTAGAGGAATCTAGGTATTCTAGTTTAGGAGTCACTAAAGGTTAGTATGCAAGTACAGCAAGTTATAGAGAAGGCAAAAGGGATGCTATCCTTTTATGATGTGAGAAATTTAACATAAAAGTTAGAATGTCCTGTTTCGGTTTGAGCATTGATGAGCCCACATCTCGTAGCGTGTGTTGTTTTGGTCTCCTTACTTAAGGAAGATGCCAATGCGTTGACAACAGTTCTGAGGAGGTTTACCTGATTGATACCGGTAATGAGTGGGTTATATTATGAGAATATGTCGGAAGACTGCATTATTTCTATCCCAATATAAAAGAATGAGAGTGATTTGACTGAAGTACGTAAAATCCTGAACATTCTTAACAAGGTGGACATGGATAGGATGTTTCAACTTGTGGATGCATCCAGGACTGTTTAAAGATTAGGGATCACCCTTTTAGGGCAGAGACGAGCAGAATTTTTTTTACCCTGTGAGGTTTGTACGACTTTGGAATTCTCTGCCTCTGAAGACAGTGGAGATGAGGTTGAATATGTTTCAGGCAGAGGTTCATTAGATTCTTGTTAGGCCTTGTTATGAAGAGTAGATGGGAATGTGTAATTCAAAACACAAACAGATCAGTCATTATCTTTTTCAATGGCGGAGTAGACTCGAGGGGCTGAATGGCCTGCCCTTGCTCCAAACCCATACATATTGTTCTGCCTGATCAGGAAACCTGCCTACTTGTACTGCCTGTCATAGGCGTAAGGTTTACAGATTGACACAGTATGTAAACAGTCCAACCCAGGGAAGCAGTTATACTGGACCTGGTTTTTGGAAAATGAGCCTGGCTAGCTGAGTGAAGTTTCAGTGAGGGGGATCATTTTAGGAGTAGTGACCATAATACCGTGAATTTTAAGATATTCATGGATAGGGATGTCAGCAGTCCTTGGGTGAAGGTGTTAAATTGAGGGAAGGTGAACTACAACAATACTTAAGCAGGAACTGGACAGTTTTGATTGAAGGCGGCTGTTTGAGGGTAAATCCACATCGGACATGTGGGAGTATTTCAAACGGCAGTTGATAAGAGTTCAGGAGTGGTATGTTCTTGTGAGAAAGAAGGTTGGGTCTGGGCAAGTTACATGAACCTTGGGTGACCAGGGATGTTATGACCTTGGTCAAAAAGGAAAAGGAAGCATGTGTAAGGTCTAGGAGGATGGGAACTGACAAAGGCCCTGAAGTAGATAAGGAAAGTAGGAAAGAACTTAAGGAATTAGAAGGGCTAAAAGACGCATGAAAAGTCATTGGCAAACAGGATTTAGGGGAATCTCAAGGCTTTTTATGCATGTATAAAAAGCAAGAGGGTAGCCATGTAAAGGGTTAGCCCTCTGAAGGACAAAGGAGAGAATCTATGTTTGGAGCCAGAAGGAGTAGATGTGGTCCTAAACAAAATACTTTGTGTTGATATTCACCAAAGAGAAGGATTTGGTGGAGGATAATCTCGGGGAAGGGAGTGTTGAGTTTCTAAGTCAAATTACTATTAAAAAGGAAGCAGTGTCGTGCTTCTTAAAAAGCATTAAGGTAGATAAGTCCTCAGGTTCTGATGGGATCTATCCCAGAATACTGAGAGAGGCAAGAGAACAAATTGCTGGAGCATTGACAGACATCTTTGTATCCTCTTTGGCTACAGGCTAGGTCCCAGAGGACTGGAGAATAGCCAGTGCTGTCCCATTGTTTAAGAAAGGTAACAGGGATAATCCTGGAAATCCTCCTGGCTTGTGAGCCTCACATCGGTGGTAGGAAAATTATTGGAAGAGATTCTCAGGGACAAGATCCAATGGCATTTAGAAGCAAATGGACTTATTAGCGATAGACAGCACAGTTTTGTGCAGGGGAGGTTGTGCCTCACTAACCTGATCGAGTTTTTTGAGGAGGTCACGAAGATGATTAATGAGGGAAAAGTAGTTAATGTTGTCTACATGGACTTCATTAAAGCCTTTGACAAGGTCCCTCATGGCAGACTGGTACAAAAGGTGAAGTCACATGGTATCCGGGGTGAGCTGGCAAGATGGATACAGAACTGGCTTAGTCCTAGGAGAGAGAGGGTAGAGGTGGAAGGATGCTTTTTGGAATGGAGGGCTGGGACTAGTGGTGTTCCACAGGGATCAGTGCTGGGACCTCTGTTTGTGATCTACACAAACGATTTAGAGTAAAATGCAGCAGGTCTAGTTAGTAAGTTTGTAGATGACACAAAGATTGGTGGAGTTGCGGATAGTGAGGAGAATTGTCAGAGGATACAGCAGGATATAGAGGCATGGGCAGAAAAACGGCAGACGGGAATTTAATCCGGACAAACGTGAGGTGATGCATTTTGGAAAGTTATGCATAAGTGGAAGTTATACAGTGAATGGCAGAATCCTTAGGAGTATTTAAATGCAGAGGCATCTGGGTGTACAGGTCCACAGATCATTGAAGGTGGCAGCGCAGGTGGATAAGGTAGTAAAAAAGGCTTATGGCATGCTTGCCTTCATTGGAAGGGGCATTGAGTATAAGGACAGACAAATTATGCTGCAGCTTTATAGAACTTTAGTTAGGCCACACTCAGAATATCGTATACAGATAGGGTTTACCAGGATGTTGCCTGGTGGGGGGGATTTTAACTCTGAAGAAAGGTTGGGTTTGTTTTCACTAGAATGCAGGAGTTTGAGGGATGACCTGATAGAAGTTTATAAGATTGTGAATGGCATGGATAGAGTGGAAGGTATGAGGCTTTTTCCCAGGATGGAGGGGTCAATTATTAGGGGACATAGGTTCAAGGTGTGAGGGTGGTAGAGGGGAGGAGGTTTAAAAGAGATGTGTGAGGCAAGTTTTTCACACAAAGGGTGCTGAGTGCCTGGAACGTGCTGCCAGAGGAGGTGGTCGAAGCAGACACAGTAGCAGTATTCACGAAGCACCTGGATGAATATGTGAATAGAAAGGGAATAGAGGGATATGGATCCTGTAAGTGAAGACAATTCTCATATGGAAGGGCAAAATATGTCGGTGCAAGCTTGGAGGGCCGAAGGGCCTGTTCCTGTGCTGTATTGTTCTTTGTTCTGATAATGAACCTGTTTGGCCTTGTATGACACACCTTCCATCAAGTCCTGAGGTGAGGCTTGAACCTGAAGCTTCTGACATTACCCACTGTGCCATAAGACCGCTTGCAAGCACGCCATTACAGTAAAGTCAAATAGGAATTAAATCTGATGATACCAGCGGATATAGATCTGGGCATCAGAAACACACTGGTGAAGTGAATGCTGCAAAATTCTCTCTTGCTAATATCTGGGGCCGTGTACTAAAATTGGGAGAGCCATCCCATAGACTAGTCAAGAGACAACTACACATGCTTGTACTCACTGAATCATGCTGTACAGCTGTATCCATACACCATCCCTCTACTACCAGCCCTCAGTATGTCCTGTCCCAGCATATTGGAAGGCACAGTGATGGCCACAAGGGGAGGCGATAGCCCAGTGCTTAGATAATTTGTTTGAGGACCCAGGTTCATGGTAGATGGTAGAATTTGAGTTCAGAAACTTGCAATTAAGAGTCTAATGATGACCATGAAACTGTTATCAATCGTCAGCAAAACCAATCTGGTTCACCAGTGTCCTCTTAGTGAAGGAAATTACCATCTTCACCTGGCCTGACCTACACGTGACTCAAGATCCACAGCCCTCTGGGCAATTAGGGATGGGCAATAATTACTGCAATCCCCACATCCCATGAATGAATAAACAAAAATATTGGGAGCACTTAATATTGACTGTGGACTGCATAAAAGTTACTGCATCAGGACCACCATCCCTCAGTTGACGAGAGATGCTGATCTAAAGAACATTGACAGGTCAGTTGCTAGCTATGTAGGGTACTTCTAGATAGAATATTTAACACATACATAAAATAAAACCTATCAATTTGAATGGGGTTTATTTCTGTCTCTGTCTGTAGGTGAAGGAATTTGATTCTATATCACGACTGGACCAGTGGTTGACAACAATGTTACTGCGCATCAAAAAGTCCATTCATGGAGAAGGGGACCTCAAGTGAAATAGCTTTGCATACACTTGAGACATTTTGCCAATTGTGATATGCTATTGTGCATGCTGGGTTGTGGATATATCTGTTTCAATGTTAGTAATTCAGTTTTGTTTCTTTTGTTTAATATGCCTGATTAATGTATCATTTAAATATATTGTTTTCTCCATTCTGCTCGTAAATGCCCAATTTGGGAACAGATCCCAGCCATAAGCATCACAGCATTTTAAAAGGCACGGTTAAGACGCATCAACATTTTTGCTTGACAGCCATTCTGAATGCTAGTGAAATTTCCTCTTTTGTGCTTGTGAAAGTCTATTGGGTGGTAACTAAATGCTGCAGGAAAGGAATATGAAGAAACTTAGGTGGAGTACAATTTCTGAAAATTTTATACTCCGCAGAATCCTAAAGTTCATGGCACTAGTTCACCAAATGGCACATAACTAACATTAAAAAAAGACATGTTGATTTCATAGGATACAAAATGTTCCATTTGGAGAACTTAATCTGCACTTTTCCTTCTGTATTTAGAGCTGATAAGTCACTTTAGTTGCTTTGATTTTTAATTTTGGATGCCAGGATTTATAGATGACTATAACGATACAAAGGAAAAGATCAATATACCCTTTTCATTTTGTATTTTAGAAAATGGTTTTCATCGGTCATATAAATTAGAGTTATGAATTTAATGGTGTGTAAACTAGTGGCCTTTTAGAATGGTTTAGGAAAGTATTAAAACAGTTTATTGCTAAATGGTAGATACTTCATCTTAAGATGATTGAAGTAGGTTTTTAAAACTGGCTTTCTTTTAACCATTTATTCTAGTTACGTATTTTATTTTAAGCTTAGAATGCTCATGGACACAATGGAAAAGGCTTGCATCACACTGGTTATGTAATATGGCAGCAGTCACTAGTTGTTTCTGTTTATAATGTGCAGCTGAAAATGTGGAAACTTTTTCCAATTTGCAAAATGTCTAAATGGGTTGTAACTACACAAATATTCTATGTAATGTTTTATAAAGAAGAAAGCTTTTTGTAAATCTAGAACTGAATATTTTGTGAAAAGCTTCCACAATTTTTTTTCCACATTTGAGTGCGTGCTTGCATGTATGTGTTTATGTATTTGTAACAACCTAAAGTATATCTTTGTCTAATAGTATGCTGCTTTTTGTTGTACATGGTGCAGTTTTAGCCCGGGCACATGTTCAGTTGTGAACAGTTTTTGTTGGAAACAATTTTGCAAAACATCTTGTAAGGTAAAACATCCTAGAACAAAGGCTTGATGTGGTCTCTGTGTGAAACATCTAGCTATGCTATGGAAAAACACTGATTATGATGCTAGGATCTTATTATTCCACTGCAAAAATCCATGTAAAAGTTGATTCCACAGATCAAATATTATCCCTGACATATGGATTTCATTGAGTAGTATTATTCTTTAATACTTTAAAGACTGTAAATAACTGGCAGTCTACCAGTGACAAGTGGTGATAATAATCTAATTGAAGGGTAACGATAGGACCTCAGGGCATGGAGGGATAAGGAGATTCAAATCCATTGTGTCCAACTCCTTAAGCTACACTTCACAAATAAATATTCTGTTCTTGTATGCAATCTTCAGAAGCTGAGCACTTTATATGTAAGCATGTGGATGTTTTATAAAATATCCTAAAGAAGCTGGTCAATGAGCTGTTTCCCAAGGTTGTGATATACACATCTTTAACAAAGACATGACTGCATTTAATGTGTTTGTTTGCCATGTTTGTGACAGTGTCATTAAACATAACCTTGAATAAAAACCTTTAATTCATTGAGCTGTTTTAGGTCTTCAAACTTGGTTCTTCAGTGAAAACACAGAATTGACTTAATGATCTACTTTGCATGTGTTTCGTGTTTCAAAATATTTAGTTGTGTAAAATGCAAATATTGTGTACTGACAAATGAACTCAGTCCAGATATTGGTGTGTTTTCAGTTACAACAATTTCTGTATATTCACTGTCTGCAAAATAAAAACTGCAGGTCAGTCCAGCAGCAAGAGCTTTATTGCCAATGAGGACTTATTGTCCTTTTTTCTTCATTACTGCATATCCACGTCTGTTCAGTTGTCACATTTAGTTATTTGTTTTATGTTATTTTGTCTCTATATTTTGTAAATTGTTTTTTTTAAAAAAAGAACTAAATCCTCAACTATTTAACCTAAAGAATGTATATTGAATTAAAGTTATTTATTTTTGACTAAAAGAACAGAAACTAAAATCTGATGTTTATTTGATTTATATAATTTGTATGGGCAGGTCATTTTGGATTGTGCAACAGCAAAAACATGAGTTAAAATGGTGCTGTAAAAAAATAATTTCCCGTATCAGACAGAATTCTGGGATCACCATTTCAAATTGTTGCAAAGACTCAATTTAGCAAGTGCGATAAATTTCATTGAAAGGAATTCCTCATTTAGAACAAATGTAGATAAAAATGCTTTATGGCAGGCATTTCACCATTCTCTTCATGATAGGTTTGTTTTTTTTAAAGAAAGGACTTTTATTGCAACTTTAATTTTAATGCACAATTATTTGTGATAAAGTTTATATACACAAAAGATTGAGAAAAATACTTTGGAAATCTAATGGGGAAATCCAATTTATTGCTGCAGATGTCAACAGTATAATCCAGTGAATTGCCACACCAAAATATAGTGATCACAATGAAGTAATTTTTAAATAATTTGTATTCCTGGAGAATATCTTTCAATATTATTGAGAAATGGCCACATATTGCTTTGTTGGAAGTGTTAGCAAATGATTTTTGAAGCATCAAAACTCCAGCAACTATTAAAAAAAAAGTATGTTATTTAAAAATGGTCAGACTTTTTGATTTTAGTTAACCACACAATGACCCACAGTTGTCAAGAGTATTTTTTCCTTTACTTGACAGTAAGAATTGAGAAATCCAGACTCTTTCCCCATCCATTAAACAAATTGTAGACGTAGAATGGTACAAGAAAAAAATGTTTCAGCAGAAGCCAAGCACTTTATATTAGCTGATGCTTCTTCCAAACACTAGCTCAGTAATTCTTAAAAAAGCATCTCAGTAAAAGTAGAACTGATCAGTCTAAATATGCAATATTAATATTCTTGGCATTCATGTCTGTAAAACTGTAAATGTATTCATAATGGCTGACTTTCATTTTAACTAGTAATTCCATAGCTCTTGCTGTGATAAGGTCAAAAACGTTGACAACTGTGGGGCATGATAAATTTTATGTACGATATAGAGACTTTAGAATGATAAGGATGAAATTTCTTCTGTTAATTCCAGTGAAAAAGGAATTATGTTTAGTGAACCCCCTTTACGTTTTAAGGACTGTGGTATATTGGTGAAAGAAGCTATCTGAAGTCATTTAAGGTAGTCCCACCACCCACCCTCTCCCCAGTTTCAATTTAGAATGAAATCTTTTTGTACCTGCAACGTGTTTTTAAGTGAGATGTCCAGCACACATTTTGGCAGGAATTCCACTGACTTTCCTTAGTATTTTACCTAGACTATTTGTTACCATCCAGAGCTGTTGCCACTATGTTGTGTGGGTTGTATGCTTGTTTCTGTGTGTTGTGTTTTAGATGTCATGAGGTATTGTCCCAGTGTAATTATTTTAGCATGTTTTTGTCTTCACAGGTATTGTTAATAAATCTGTGACTGTGTGTGCATTAGAAACTGTTTAATATTGAATGCATTAAGACAATCTAGTCTTTGTGGTGTTTTGTCAGATTTGCAGAATTATGAAGACCAATGCTTCTGAAAGTTGGTCTATTACTGAAACACAAGAAAACAAATGCCTCCATTTAAAATAAAATATCCTATCATCAAAACTTTGCTTCCCTTGATGTTTTCTTTTCCCTCTTGTAATAGGTTTCCATTCTTAGTCTCTAGATTACACAAATGTCTGATGAGGAGAAGTTGGACAGGCTACGCTCGTATGCACTGAAGTTTAGAGTAAAAGGTGTCATGATTGAAATATTAAGATTGTGGGGCAGCGGGCAGCAGGGTTTTTTAAATTAGAATAGATGCGTAAAGGACATTTCCTCTTGTGGAGAATCTAGAACTAGAGGTTGCTGTTTTAAAAATGGTGATGGGGGGGTGGTGAGTCACCATCTAATTCACATAAAAAGAGACATTTTATTCCTCAGATGGACTAGAATCTTTGGAACTTTCTCTCTCTTTCTCCAAGGTGTTAAAACAGACTCCTTGAATATTTGGCAGCGGCCCTAGATAGATCCTATATAAGCAAAGGAGTGGATTGAGGTTGTAGCCAACTGGGATCTTATTGAATGACAGCAGGACTCTACTTAATTCATATGTCCTATTTTACTGAAAAAAAAACACACACAATCTGGAAGCAATATGGTGTTTCACTTGAAGCTAGAGTAGTCACCACCTATATCCCCTCCAACACAGTATGCTTGGCCAGTTCCTTAGGCAACAACAGGCACATGAGTCTAGATTTCCTGGGAGATGGTGGTGCTGCACTTGTTACAATGGGCCAGAAATACAGCCTTCCCTGCACTGCACACAAACATCATGATGCTCAAGGCTTTGGAGGAAATACTGGTGTTGGAGTGAACCTGTTTAATCATAATCACAAAAATAGACCCTTTGGTTCAACTCCAAGCCGATCAGACATCCTAATTTGACCTCGACCCATGTGCCAGCATTTGGTCCATATCCTTCTGAACCCTTCCTATTCATGTACCCATCCAGATGCCTTTTAAATGTTGTAATTGTATCCACCTCAGTTACCCTTCAGGTCCTTTCTAAATCTTTCTGCTTTCACCTTAAACATGTGCCCTCTAGTTTTGGACATGCCCACCCTAGAAAAAAAAAGACCCTGGCTATTCCCTGTATCTGTGCCCCTCATGATTTTATAAACCTCTATAAGCTCAACCTCAGCTTTGGACACTCCGGGGGAAAAAAAAACCCAACCTGTTCAGCCTCTCCCTATAACTTAAACTCTCAAATCCCAAGAACATCCTTGTGAATCTTTTCTGCACCCTGTCAAGTTTATCAATATCCTTCCTATAGAAATGTGACCATAATTGTATGCACTATTCTAAAGTGGCCTCACTAATGTCTTGTACAGTCACAGGATGACATCCCAACTCCTATACTCAATATTATGACCAATGAAGGCAAGCGTGCCAAATGCCTCTTCACCACCCTGGCTACCTGCAACTTAGGGGCAGCACGGTGGCTCATGGTTAGCACTGCTGCCACACAGTGCCAGGGACCTGGGTCCGAGTTCACTCTCGGGTGACTGTCTGTGTATTTACACATTCTCCCCGTGTCTGCGTGGGTTCCCACAGTCCAAAGATGTGCAGGCTAGGTAGATTGGCCATGCTAAATTAACCATAGTGTTCAGGGATGTGTAGATTAGGTAGGTTACAGGTGGGATGCTCTGAGGGTCAGTGTGGACTTGTTAGGCCGAAGGGCCTATTTCCACACTGTAGTGATTCTATATTAAAAAAAAAATCACTTTCAAAGAACTATGCACCTGCACCTCTAGGTCTCTTTGCTCAGCAATACTCCTCAGGGTCCTACCATTGACTGTAAAGTCCTGCCCTGGTTTCCCTTACCAAAATGCAACATCTCGCATTTAATCTAAATTAAACTCCACCTACCACTCCCTTCATTGCTTTCTTAACAGCCTTTCTGACAACTCATTCTTTCTTAGCCCCATGAAGAACACCAAATATTACTTATTACCTCTTCTGATCCCAGTCTGTTGCTGCATTGTCTAATCACTAGTTGTATGAACTAAAATTTGATATCACTTGAAATAAATATGCAATTGCTGTCAGATTAAAATCTGCACAAGTAAACCCTCTGACTTTGATTCCATCAACCTGCTTGGCTATCACCTTTTATTGGTCCAATTATTTTCTGTCCTTAAAATTCTCAGGTTCAAGAACAACGGGAGTTTGTAGAATACAGACATTAGAATGTATAAAGGAATTTAGCCCTTTTAACACAAAAATTTTTTTTTGGCAACACTTGAGAAGTAGCACCCTCCACAAGCAAGTCACTTGGGCACCATAAGAATGACAACATAATTTTAAACATTTACACAAAGGACAAATTTTACAATCATATCCTTGAAGAGGGGTTGGGTTAGAAGCTCAATATTTCAAGATCCTAGGCTAACTTGCACGTTAACATTTTTGCACAATTCACTATCTCTGTCAAGTTGTGATGTGCATGAACCTTTTTGGGAACACTCAAAATTGCGATTCATTATGGAGACAGACTATGATGCATTGCTCTGTGATTCCGTAAATAGAACACAGTACCAACACTGCAGGTCAGACGTGCCTGCACAACCTCATAGTAAACATTAGTTGGAGGCATGTCTGTACACACAAAAAGGATACATTGTTTTAACAATCCTGGTGTATGGTTAATATGTTAACAGTATTTTGATAGCAGCACAGCCTCCACATACTGCAGCAGTTTATAGCTATCTCAAAAATTGTCAGAACTAGGATTGAAGATGGTATCTTAGGTTTCCTGGGAGTACCCTTGCATTCTTAAGTTTTTGATGTCAAATATTTCCAGAATAATAAACTTAAAATAGAAGGGTTATGATGACTGCCTGAGAAGAATGATAACTGCAAGATTGATTTGGGGAGCCACAACTGGACTTGCAGTATTATGGACTGAAAATCTTTAAAAAGCACAGCCCAATAGGTACAGTAAATTAGTTCTGAGTGTTGAGAGAATTTTACAGGTCTCTCTTCTTGCAACCCCTTATGCCTGGAGGATGGAACAAAAAACTCAGCTTGTCTCAGTCTGTGAATAGCCAAGTGATAGACCATATTCATCACGCTCAATGTGTAAAATATGCTTCTGCACATCACCTCAGCCTAAGACCATCAGTGTTGCAAAGTCAGACTCACTAATGACTTGAAGCTTGTGTAGTCAGCTTTATTGCAACACTCCAAAGGCTGCCTCTCCTGGATTGTACCCAACAGCAGAAGATCATAAGAGCCGTACGAAATGGGAACAGGTGTAGGCTGTTCTGCCCCTCAGGTCT